CAGAAATAATGGCCAGCAGCAGGGAACAAGAGATGAACTCCGGTGCCTTCAGGATAACTGCAGCACTAAATGAACTGTTTGCCTCTTTTTCGACTACATCTGTACCATTGATCTGTTAAATCAGAGATTTGTATTGGTGAAGGAGCAGAAGATTTGAATGGATTGTTTTCATTTCATTGAAGTGATGATGAGATATAAACTACCATGGCTTAAAGGTACAAAATGCCTTCGAAGTATGCGTGAAACAGCAATTTTCGGATCTGACTAATCGGTGAAAACATTGTTTACTTAGAAAGATAGAGTCACTATTTCGACATATTTGAATAATGTCTTCAACAAAAGTATATCAGAAGGCAGCTTTTCAGTTAGGAAAGCCATGATGATGACAGAAATCGGATGGTTGTGATAAATAGGAGTGGGATGTGCCAAATAAACAACGTAATACTAACTAAAGAACTTGGCGAAACCACTGAGATCTCCAAATAAAATGTTTTCATTGGTTCTTCCAGTTGAATTTCATTTGTTTTCGAAGTAATCTGTACTATCGAAGTGAACAATTATTATTTATTATTATTATTGTATCCTTTAATTCCTAGAGGAACATAGGGCTTCAGCTGCGCACCTCCATTGCCTTCGGTTTTCTGACAACTTTTTCACCCTGCTCCAGGTATGTCCACATGCTTTCATCTCCTCCTCGCATGACCTCCTCCATGTCACCCTTGCACTGACGACCAACTCGCCGCCTCCCTTTCGGGTTCCACTCGAGGGCTTGTCTAGTGATGTCACTTGGTGGTTTCCTCAGCGTATGGCCAATCCATCTCCATTTCTTTCTGCCTATTTGTTTCACAATCGGTTCCTGATTGATTCGCTCCCAGAGATCCCTGTTGCTGATCTTTTCTGGCCATCTGATCTTGAGTATTGAGCGGAGACAGTTGTTAATGAAGGTTTGAAGTTTGTTTGAGATGCTCTTTATGACTCGCCAAGTCTCTGATCCGTATAGTAGCACTGACTTCACATTGGAGTTGAAAATCCGGATCTTATTTTTGATGCTGAGTGCTGTTGACCTCCACACAGATTTGAGAGTAATGAAAGCTTGTCTTGCTTTTCCGATTCTGGCTTTGATGTCCTCGTCAGTTCCGCCTGTAGTTGAGACGGTGCTTCCCAGGTAAGTGAAGGAGGTTGTTTCTTTCAGGTTCTTCCCACTTATGCTGATTGTTGTCTGTTGTTGTTGTTGTTGCTGTTGATGTTGCCTAGGAATCTTCATCATCTCTGTTTTATCTATGTTCACGTGAAGTCCTATCTTTGATGCTTCTTCTGTCAACTTGTTACTTTTCACTTGCATATCTTCCAGTTTATGGGAAATCAGACATATATCATCGGCGAAATCCAGATCCTCCAAGTCTTTTGTGTCAGTCCATTTTATGCCTGTTCCCTCGTTGGTTGCCGTTGTCTGTCGCATTATCCAATCTACTGCAATCAGGAAAATCATTGGCGATAGTAGGCAGCCTTGTCTCACTCCCATCCTCTTATCGAAGAATTCCGTAAGTTTCCCGCTGTGGATTACTTGGCATGCAGCATTGTCGTATAACTGTTGGATGAGATGTATAATTGTCGATGGGACCCCGTAGTAGCGAAGTAGTTTCCAAATGACCTCTCGATCGACGCTGTCAAAGGCCTTTTCAAAGTCGATGAAATCCGAATAAATAAGTCAGTTTTTTTTCATGCAATGTCCAAAAACATACCAAAGTGTATCTCATCAAAAACGCCAACCGAATGAAATGTCATTTTTAAGCAAGCACAGTAATTAACAAAAAGTACATAGAGTTCGAATACGAACATCTATGAAAATTGTATATGTCTTCGAGGTTAGTGATAGGGATGTTGTCTCTTCACAGATGCAGTACTGATAATACAAATATAGTCTAAATATCTCAATCCATAGAGTGTTCATGGATTCATCGTTTTAGTTGTGATCGCCAGCATAACATTTAACTGTAAGGATATATCAGTTGAAATTCAAAACGCCTAGGTTAAAAGGTGCTTTTTTTAGTACATCATGTAGTCTACTGATATTAATATTATTATTTCCTTGTATTCCAAGCAGAACCTGGGCTTTAACAGCACATTCCCATTTCATTCTGTTTCCTGCAGTCCTGTTCATCCGTCTTCATGATTTACCATAACCTCACATTTCCACCTAACACATTGTCTGTGTCACCCAATACACGCATCCTCAACTCTGCATTACTCAATTGAGTCCCATTTGAGGACGGGCTTGACGAGCGATATAACCTGCAGCTTATCAGCATAAACCGCTCTTTAATTCCAATTTTTCAACTTGTTGGTTAATTATTTCACTTGGCATATATAGTATATATATATATATATATATATATATAGTGGCGTCTTGTTAAAAGATGCAGATGAATTATTTTCTAATCTCTTGGCCATGTGTATACTGATAGACGTTCAAGAGTAGCTGTTTAAACTCGACGAGATGTATACAACCTTAAGTTCATATTCAATAGCACAAACCATATAGCTGATGCTATTTACCAAATTTCTAATAAACAAGAAAGGAACCAAGTTTGTGAAAATGTGTTCACTGACCGATATTTTAGGATTTGTTTATTCTGTTCATGAAACAGTTACCCATTTAAACTTCATATTACATTCTATCAAATGCTCATTTTCAAGACATTCAATTTTTATTTGTTTGATGAAAACTTTCAATGAATTCGTTTCTTATGAGAGAAAACTAAAGATTCGAATGCAGCTATATTCCTTTGTTTAATGGTGTTCTGGCGAAGACACTAACCTACTATTCAACTTTTTGAGCACCTCAGTGTTGTCATCAAATAAGTTTTTGGGAGACTGTTATCTTACAAAGCATTTTAGTATAAATGTTTCGATGTACCACCGTTCAGCTTAATAGAACAAAAACACATCATCGTCGCCTCCCCAAACGTGGAATTCCGTCGTTTCAAAGATTTAGTAGGGTCATAAAGAACATTGACTTGACAATTCATCTCCCAAATCTATGAAGCTTTAGAGCTGAATGATGTGAACAGTTATGAAGTATTTCTGTGTCTACCTAAGAACCATTGGGAAACTATTGAGTACTGAATAGCTGTTGCATCATGGTGTCCTGGACTCTTTAGCAGTATGAACATGCTGTGGTTCGAACTCAGGAGTCTCTGATTACAAGATGAGCTCATGGACAATTCTCAGAAACTAGAACACGATCCAATGGCCTATGAATTCCAGCTCCTACTAATTTGCGGTTTATAATGAAACCGCCAACCAATGTCACAGGAAAGAGTAACTGTTCTCCTACCTGACTTGGTGGATCCCGCCGGTTACGACTTCTCAATAGCTAATGGTTACGCTATATATATGTATGTCTCGAATTGATAGAAGTTGGAATTCATGGGCAATTAGAATGGGTCCCAATGGCTCAAGGGTTTACCAGTCCTGGGTTGGAATGCCAATGATTGCCTACTGCTGAAGAGACCAGAGAACTATGGTGAAATAGTTGTCCATTATTCCAAGGTATTTTAATGGTTTTCTAACTGATGTGAACAAGTAATGAAACTTGCAACCAATCAAATCACTGCGAAGCAACACTTGATAAATATTTTTTCGCCTAACTGCTTGGAGGCAGAAGTATTATGAAGATTATACAAGGGACAGAAATTTTCAATCTGCTTTCAGATATTAAGTCCGGCTAGTTTGCTTTCGTTTTTGTTTGATCATACCTAGTCAGTCCATGTTTCTTCAATGAGTGAGTTTTTACCAGTATAAGGAGAGTTTTCTATTCTGTTTCGTCAAATAATAACGTACTACTAAAATACTAATTCCGGTAGGAATAGTCATCTTGTTGATAGGAATAAACCAATTAAAGTCAATAAATGTTCAACTAGTTTCACGATTAAGATTTACTACGTGAAATGACATCATAATTGATACCTGATCATTACAAGAAATATATTAAAAACACAGCGCATTACATATTTTCTTTGTCTAACAGTTTCAGAGATAAAGTATTGCCTGATCATTTTTTGAGTTTAATTTTTTTCAATAATCAACAGTTAGTTCAATGGTGATCAAATTGAAAGACGGAAACTTTGCATATCCAGTGAGGATAAAGCCTGCTGCAACGGGTTTTCACTCACAGTGTAGCAAACTTCAGAACAGATATTTAATTCAATTTTAGATTTTCCCACCGATTGACTGGACCGTAGTGCTCAGTCTCAGGTTGACATGTTGGGTTCTTGTGCTGATGCTTCGACGATGTCAGGGCATGTGATTAGGAGTTAGTTTGTGGATGGTGACTAGCAGTGGATTCTAGGATGCGCATCCCGTCCTAGTTGGGACGACATGTCAACCTGAGACCTAACACTTTGGTCCGGTCAATCGACAGGAAAATCTAAAATTGAATTACATAACTAATATGACCTGTTGCACAAGATGTGGCTCTCGTAGCCCAGGTGGCCTAGTGGATAACGCCTTTGTGTTTGAAACTATGGGCAACGGATTTGAGCCTCGGTGGGAACATCATAACTCACCCACTTGGGAATGCAGGTACATCCAGACGGCGAGTCCTAAATGGGACGAAACGTGCGTCCTGGCTTCCACTGCTAGTCACTATCCATCAATTAAATTCAAAACAGATATTCTTACTGTGTAGAAAAACTTGATAGGACTCCTGTAAAACAGTCAAACATAACATCTGTTATGATGATAACAACATTCCTTTGGGCCCGTAACACACAACCAAATACCTGAGCAAAATAAAATTCGTAACTGATCACCTCCATTCTAAATATAAAAGTACACTGAAAGAGAAGTATGGCAAGCTTGATTTGCGATAGCACACATCTACAATCTTACATTTCATAGTTTACATAGTTAACTTTTTCAAGTCATCACATTTTATTGTAAAGCACAAATTCAAATTACTAATGTATTTCGCTTTTTGTCTTCTTTTTGTGTTTCAGCCTATGCCTACGATTTCTCAATACATATGTTGCTCCTGTGATTGTTGTCCTAGGTATCATTGGTAATATTTTGTCCATAATTGTCCTAAGAAGTCGGCGTATGAAATCCTCCGTTTCAATCTATTTAATCAGTCTATCTGTATTTGATATACTGTTGTTGGCTTGCGCTATTGTATTATTTCTTGAAGATCCTTTTGCGGATGACATTTCCCCACCGTCACTCCCACTATCAGTAAATGATTCCATAGATAATAAGCAAGGAAATATTTCAGAAGTAAACAATAATGCATATAAACAGTTGACAGATAAACACACAGATGTGCATAATATTACAAGTAATATATCAACAGCTCATCGTATTTATTCAATACTTAAAGGTCATTTTGTCTATCCAATTGCATTAACAGCTCAAACTGCAGCCATATGGATTACAGTTAGTTTAACTGTTGAACGATATATTGCTGGATGTTATCCGCTACACGCCAACCTCTTGTCATCTGTTCCAAAATCTCGTCTAGTTGTCTGTTGTTGTATGATATGTGCTGTTGTCTATAATATTCCAAGATGGTTTGAAGCTTCAGACAATCAGTCTATAAATACTAGTGATACACCTGTAGAGGATAATTCCTCGTCAAGACAACAACGCTATGACTGGCATGCATTATTTCGACTTGTTTATTATACATGGGGATATATACTTGTTATGTTTTTATTGCCGTTTATTGCTTTACTGGTTATGAATATTCGTTTAATGTATGCCCTGCGTAGATCAGATTTTGCTGTACATAAAAATTCTCATCCAACACATTATATTGTTGATAATACAGGTAATGTTGGAGCGAGTTGTCATCAACTGACTGTTTCTAATACGAATTTATATCCGGAAACATTTACCACCACCACAACAACAACAATGACACCAACGTCAAGAAAATCGTTATCCTTGAAACCGTTAACTTTACGCTTTCAACGAAGTGATCATTGCAAATCGTGTAAATCGCAGAGAAATTCCCTAAATCCATATGGTCCAACACGATTAGCTGTACAAGCGGATAAGAGTATTACACGTATGATTATTGTCGTCGTTGGTGTATTTATTGCATGCCAGTTGCCAGCGCTTATATTTAACATTTATTTTGGTATTGTATCACCTGAAGTCCTACCAACTGGTTGGTGTGCATTATCAGAGATACGGAATTTTTTAGTTGTTGTCAATTCCAGTGTTAATTTTATTGTATATTGTGTTATGGGTGCAAAATTTCGTAGAAGTTTTATTCATGTGATTACACCATGTTGGGAGATGAAACTGACAAGTAGTCATAATAATAATAATCATAATAATAATACACAAAAATCTGTAGTACGACTGTTAACTTTACGATCAGATGTCGCTGAAGTTTAATCGAGTCTAGTACATTTCTTTCAGGTGAATATTAAATCCATTGTATTTATAGAAATGTATGTTTTATGTATAAAAATTCAAATAAAAGGATCGTGTATTGACTAATTCTCGTCAGTTTCTCATATTTTATTCTATCTACAATTGGTAATGTTATTAATGACAATTTGTAAAAACGTTTTCAGTGGGGTAAGAAGGGTTATCATATTGTTTATATATTATGACCTTTGCCGTTATTCAAGTGTTGGTTTGTAGAGATTTGGTTGATTGGTTACAGGATTTGATTATGAGCTGACATCAGCTGGAGAACCACTGGAAAACCTGGGAGTACTGGACAGTTGTTTCGCCCTAGTCTGGGACTCTTCATCAGTACGCACCCACCGAGGTTCGATTCCAGCACCTTCTGGTTACAAGGCAAGCCGTTGTTGTTATTATTATGTCTTTGGGTTCCGACCAGAACATAGAACTTTAAAAAATATCTTTTTCTCATCCTGCTCCCTGCAGGCCTCTTTAGCTGGCCCCATAATTGTTCATAAGTTCTCAACTCCCTCTCTCGCGATCTCCTCTATTTCGCCATCAGACTGACAACCAACTTGTCGTTTGCTATTCGAGTCCTACTAAAGGATCTGCGGGTGCGACATATCAGTCAGCTATCTCGCCTTTGTGTGTCTGATCCAACTCAGTTTCCTTCTACAAATTTGTTGGATAGCAGGTTTTTGTTGGGTTCGCTTACAGAGTTTATTGTTGCTAATCCATATTCGGTGGCCAACCGATCTTCAGTATCGAGGCGGCAGTCTGTTAAAAGCGTTGTTGATACTTCCATTTCCGACAAGTGGCCCACTCACAAAGAAAAACTGAACCAACACTGGTATTGAAAAAATCGGAATCGTCTTCTAAATTGAAGCTGATTTCCACATAGATTTAAAGTTAATGAAGGACTACATTGCTTTTCTAACCCTGACTTTGAGATCTTAATTCGTGCTGTGTGCCTGTTGGTGAAACGATACTGCTGGAGTAAGTAAAAGAAACGACCTCTTCCCAATTGATTCCATCGAAATTACTCCTAAATTATATGAATCTGGGTTAACCAGACAGATCAACTTGACATTTGGTGACTGATTGTTGGTAGCATATGGTTGAAGACAATCGACATGAAGCTTTGGACCTAGGTTTCCAGCTAGTTGGCACTCACCAGTAAGGCGTATCTACAGCCGTGAAGGAACTTATTCCACTTCTGAGATTCGAACCCGCGTAACCCAGTGATAACTGCAGTCACAAACGTTTCCACTGAGATATTCAGCCTCTCAATCGACCTCCTGTAGGACTGCGTTGAATATATTTCATTGGACAATAATCAGTAAGTAGTGTAATATGCAGAGTGAATTCAATCAGCCAAGTTTGCAATGTGGCCAATGAAAAATATCCAACAGGGTCCTACAGGAGGTCGATTGCGAGCCTGATTTGCTCAGTGAGAACGTCTCTGAGTGCAGTTCTCACTGGGTGACACAAGTTCTAACCTCAGAAGTGGCATAAATTCCTTCTAGGTTTCAGATACGCCCTTTCTGACTAATGAGTGCCAACTAGCACGAAACCTGCCTCAAAGGCTTCCTGTGGCTGATTGCCTCTAATCATCTAACATCAACAGTTCACAGTTCACGGCGTAGCGAGTCACCCAGTATGGTGGCCACGTCGCAAAACCGACTGACAGAATTCAGTCTGCGCCAAAGATAGAACTAGCCACATTACACTAGTTACTGACTAGTGTCCAATGAAAATTATTCGGAGATTGAATACTCCACATACTCTATGCTGATTGTTAGGCGATGTGATTTCTAAAAGAAACGGTAAGAAGAATATTAGTATCGCAGTATATATTCAAAAAAAAATACATTACTGTCTTAAGTGAAAATTTGTCACACATGCATAAAGGTCTTTAAACACTAGAGGTCAGTTTCCTACTCGGATTTCCCGTTAAATCTGTTTCAATGGACAAATGACCTCTGAAATCTGCAGTATCCTACTGTGAAATGCATTGCAGTCTAAATATCACTCAAATAGGCATAAATTTCAGAGAAGGACAGTTGCAAACCCTTTTTATGCAAATTATTGCAAATATGAAACAATAAGCCTTTTTCCAACGCTAAGTGTTTCGGATATGCGTACATAACATCAGTGATTTTCTGCGTTCTTCACTGCAACTTGGAACTAACGAATGGAATTCTGCGTGTTGACACAGACACTTTAATCCCACAAAAGTAGTTTGTCACCTACTGAACAGGTACCATGCCTGAGCTGTAATGAATCATATTTCGCAGCACACAAGGGATAAAAGGATGTTTTTTTATCTTTGATGGGAAATAAAGCCAGAAATTTTAATTTATGTAAACTTATATGATGTATTCAAAAGTTTAACTGAAAAAATAACTTTTGATATCGTGAACTGGTAAATGTTTTTGACAACTATATAATAATTATTTTGAAAACTAGTGGCGGCTTGTTTAAAATCTGGGCTACCGAAATACTCCATCATTGCATTGAATAGAATTCCTACTGTTCACTTTGTTTTAATCGATTAAAAATATCATATCAAATGGTGTTCTCTACTACCGCGGGTATTTAAAATGTCTACGATCAGCTGATTTACAGAGTTTCTGCTAGACTTGAGAATCGTTCATGTATTCCAATATATGAGATAAATGGCCAATACCTGAGGACACTACCTGGGAAATAAAACTGATTACCTGCAGTCTTAAATTATGTAGTTATTATTATTTTGTCGTTAGGTTATAATATGTAATCCTGCATCTTACTTAATTGGATTTCAACTATATGTTGTGCATTTCTTGAAGCTGGGAGACGAAGAATAAATATCGTGTGGGATTAGTTTTCTCCCTAGTGAAACAGCAGTATGTCACGTGATTTATTATCAGCTGTAGTTTTACAATCCTTTAACGAAGAGGAATTATTATACAAATATTTCCAGAAATAAAACCCTACGCATTATTTGTAAAGCTATTATTACTATTCCATTTTATCATAAGTAGAATTCAAATAGAGCTTACTATAAAAGAAAAGAAAATTATAAAATGTAAGAAAGATAAGGGCGTATTGCCTGACAGGAAAGAATGGTTGCTTTTATTTTGCAATTTTGCAGATTATTATAGATGGTAGGCCTTAAGTTATATTAACTCTTCAAATTCACACTGCATCAAAGATCCAATCCTGCTTTGAATGGGTCAAAAGACACTGTTGAAAAAGAAATAAGTGGCCTCGACTGGGAATTGTAATCCAACGTGATGTGAGAACATTAAAGGTTACAAAGACAAACAAGATAACCCATATTACCCAAAAACTCTTTGAAGCCACAGTTCGCTGCAGTTTTCAGGTAGTTATTTGCAACTATTACCAAAATCTTAATATCCGGTAACCTTTAGTATGTTGCTATGAGTAACGCAAATAAAAGCCCTAAACATTTTATTAGCCTTGATGTCAGCAAAATAAAGTTTAACAATCACAGAAGATGTAGGCTACCTACTAGCCCATTGGTGTCACCATGGCAACCAAATATAGACCGCCTCATCGATTTCCGTTTGCTGAGATCAAGGACAACTAGTTGATTGTATTTAACCATTGTGCGCTTCCGCTCATTTTCATAAATTATCAAACAAACTTCCTAAGTTATCCGTCATGACATGCCAGTCTTCACTAGTTGCCTAGATGACAGGATTCTGTTAAAAGTAACGCCGCCTTCTATTCCTAAGGAAGTCCTGAATTCAGTATCTTATCATTTCATTGATATTTTCACTACCTAAGTTGACTAGAAAATCTGAGTGAGAAAAAATATCAACATGCTTTGTTAGAGCTAATACATATAGAATCCACAAGAACAATAAAATCACCTGAGTGATCCAAGCCTTTAATTATAAAAAAGACTGACTTAAAACAACGCTGTTCCTTCGGAGAATGTTGACCGCTTTCAAGATGATGAGTAACATCGACAAGAATGATTCTCTTCAGTAATTTAACAGCGGTAGTGTTTGGGCTAACACAACACTAGTCCATAAATAAATTTTGGCCTCCAGTTAGGAAAATCAGGATAAGACTTCAGAAGCAGTTTTACGACAATTCACTTATTATTGCTTAGAGTTTCCGTTCTTAAGTCACTTCTGGGATATTTATTCTTAAAAAACACTGGATTGGAGTAACTGGAGGAATTCTTATAAGCCTAACTTATCAGGCCTTCATCAAATAGAAGAGTAAGGTTAGAGTAACCCTCCATAGTCATCCTCTTGATATAGGAGATATGTTTTTTTAAAATAGCTCCGTGACCTCATAACTAGTTGTAATTCTCAAATATTCCTAGATGTGGATGTCAAGTCCTTACACTGATTGGTAGTTACAATGTATTTTAACTAGAACTGCTGTAGCCTAGTGGGAGTATAGAGATTTCAGAACTTTTTCTTCCTTTGTAAGGGTTGCTGGTTTGTTTAAAACTCTTCAAAATATGAATTTATATGTAAACATTCCAAGCGTATTCGTGGATTAATTTAAGGCACCATCAGTCACTTATTACTGACTAGCCAGTCCCGCATTAAAACACTTATTTCAGGAGTTGGGATGCCAGCATGATTTAAGCTAGGGTGATCCTGGAGTTGAATGTTGACGAAAGCATGAGCACTAATGGGAAACAACACCCCCGTACTCACTAAACACTAGAGAAGAATGACGAACTAGACCCTTCATACTATCTGCGCCATGAGTTACCGTCAGGCTTAAATGGAGGACTCTGAGTGAACCTGAAGAACTTTTATCTCAGACGTATATTAAATCACTCTCAACGGCAGCTAGGAATAGTTGATTTGGGAAGAGAGCAGTCACTGAATTTACCTGGGGCTTCTAGTAAAGTCATCTAAACTATGGAGGTTTTCGTATGTTATCCATTCTTCAATGTGTCCTAATACGAAGTCTTTACACTGAATATTTGAACTTATTTACAAAGCGCCAATCAGGAACAAACAATACATAAAACTAAACCTGTGAGCAATCTATTTGCATTTCCCTCTCCTACGCACTGTAAACTGTCAA